TTCTGTTCAGTATTGTCCATGGAAGCAGAAGCAGAAGTGTAAGCTCCACTGTATTTGGCCCCTGGTGGATTTTCCCTGTCTGCACTAAGATATGTTCTCAGGGGATTCCTTTCAGGGTCTGACATCTCCACACAGTGGGAATGGCTAGTTGCATTAGGAAATTCTGACATAGTACATTGGACTAGATCACTGGAAAAATGTTAGGGGATGGAGTTTGGAGCCTATAGACCGGGGCTGAGTCTTGCTCCATCCTGCCTTGAGCAAGTCACTGAAAACTCAGAGCCTTGGTCTCTAACTGGGGATTCTCAGAGCCACATCATTGCAGGTTATTCTAAGAAACTAGGAAGAGGAGGAGTATCCTCAACCTGACAAAGATTCTATGAAAAACCTACAGCAGACATCATACTTACTGGAACAAGAGTGAATGGTCCCCCCCCTAAGGTCAGGAACAAGACAAGGGCATTTATTTGCTTTTGCTACTTCTATTCAACGTCATGCTGGAGGTTTTAGCCAAAGCAGTTAGGCAAGAAAAAGAAAAGACACTGAGATCGGAAAAGAAGAAGTAAAACTATTTGTATTTGTGGATGGCATGATCTTGTATAGAGTAGATCCCAAGAATCCACTAGAAACTATTAGAATGTAGAAGCACCTGAAGCAAGATTGCAGGGTACAAGGTCAATACACAAAAATTAGTCTTATTTTTATATCCTAGAAGTGAACAATCTGAAAGTGAAATTAAGAAAACAATTCCATGTACAATAGCACCAAAAAGAATAAAATTCTCAGGAATAAATCTAACGAAAGAAGTGCAAAATGTATATTCAACAAACTACACAACATTATGAAAGAAATTAAAGAAGATCTAAATAAACAGAAGGACATCCCATTTTCATGGATTGGAAGACTTAACGTTATTAAGGTGGCAATATTCCCCACATTGATTGACAGATTCAGTGCCATCCCTGTTTAAATTTCAACGGGCTCTTTTTTTTTTCAGAAATTGACAAGTTGATTCTAAAATTCATAGGGAAATTCAAGAGATTCAGAATAGCCCAAATCATCTTAAAAATGAAAAGCAAAGTTGGAGGGCTCACTCAATTTCAAAACTTACCATAAAGTTATAGTAATCAAAAACAGGGTGGTACCAGTAATAAGGATAGACACATAGATCAATGGAATAGAATTGAGAGAACAAGATAAACCTTCCATTTATAGCCAATTACTTTTTTTAATAGTTTATTTATTTTTGAGACACAGAGACAGAGCATGAATGGGGGAGGGCCAGAGAGAGAGGGAGACACAGAATCCGAAAGAGGCTCCAGGCTCTGAGCTGTCAGCACAGAGCCCGACGTGGGGCTCGAACCCACGAGCCGTGAGATCATGACCTGAGCCAAAGTTGGACGCTTAGCTGACTGAGCCACCCAGGCACCCCAGTCAATTAATTTTTGATAAGGGTTCCTCCCAGTGCTGGAAGGATCAGGGGAAATGGGGATTGCCTGGTAATAGGTACGGCATTTCTTTTTGGGGGTGATGAATGTGTTCTAAAGTTGATTGTGGTGATGGTCACACAATCTTGTGAATATACTAGGAATACACTTAAAAACTTTATTTTTATTTACTTTTAATTTTTTTTTAATTTCTGAGAGAGAGAGAGAGAGAGACAGTGTGAGCGGGGGGCGGGGGGTGGGGTCAGAGAGAGAGGGAGACACAGAATCCGAAACGGGCTCCAGGCTCTGAGCTGTCAGCACAGAGCCCGACGCGGGGCTCAAACCCATGAACCGTGAGATCATGACCTGAGCCGAAGTCGGACGCTTAACCAACTGATCCACCCAGGAGCCCCTATTTACTTTTAATTTTTGAAAATGTTTATTTATTTTTGAGAGAGAGAAAGAGAGAGGCAGAGTGTGAGCAGGGGAGGGGCAGAGAGAGGAGACACTGAATCCGAAACAGGATCCAGGCTCTGAGCTGTCAGCACAGAGCCCGACACGGGGCTCAGACTCACAAACTGGGAGATCATGACCTGAGCCGAAGTCAGAGGCTTAACTGACTGAGCCACCCAGGTGCCCCTAAAAACTTTTAAATTGTGTACTTTGAATTGGTGAACTGGGGTGCCTGGGTGGCTCATTTGGTTAAGCGGCCGACTCTTGGTTTTGGCTCACGATCTGGCGGTCCATGAGTTCAAGCCCTGAGCTGGGCTCTCTGGTGATGTTGCAAAACCTGCTTGGGATTCTCTCTCTCTCTCTCTCTGTCTCTCTGCCCCTCCCCTGCCATCACACCCTTGCTCACTCTCTCTCAAAAAAAAAAAAAATCAGAAGAAAAAGATAAACTTCTAGGTGATTAAAAATCTTAATATTTAATGTTAATGTATTTGTCTTTAACTGATACAGTTGTAAAATATAATTTTTAATGTAATTTAACTTCTTTATTTTAGAAGGAGCCCAACGGGCCAAAGTGCCTAGGACCCACAAAGTCTGAATGTGGCCCTGGGTGGTGTCGGTTTGAATTTGATCAATAAAGTTTTCTCTCACCAGATTTTGAGGAAACCATAGAACGTTAAAGAAAGTGTGAAACAATTCATTCAAATCCATCCATTCTGGCCTGCTCCTGTTCTTCTTTCTTCTTCTTCTTCTTTTTTTTTTTTAACTCTCCTTTCCAGTTCTTGGCTGTCAGCAAACATCTCTTTCGACGGGTTCTAATCTTAGTACCTCTGACTTGCTGTGTGGCCCCGGTTGGTCATTCTGTGGCCTTGAGCCTTATTTTCTTCATCTGTGAGGGGAGGTGAGGAGTTGTAACTCAGCATAGAGCCTGAGGGAGGAAGCAAGCACGAGGGAACCACCATCCAGCCACCTGTGGCCTCATGAATCTTTGGAAGGGGTGACATAAATAAGACAGGAATCTACTCCTTAGCTTGGCACTCAAGGCCTTTTGTGATCTGGCCCCCACCTTCCTTCTCAGCCACATCTGTCAGCACACCCCTTCTCTGCCTTTGCAGACAGCTGGAAGGATGTTCAGAATCCCATAGGGACCTCCAGGGACCTCCTTAGAGAAGAACTTTGGAAACATCAAGCAGACACACGCAGTGTGAATGCTGGAAGCTTCTAGATCTTTTTTTTGCCCTCCAACCCACATTTGTTCTATTCTGACACAAAAATCTATATCCTTACTGGGATCAGCAGTAAAATCCTTAAACCAGGCATTGCAAGCTGACCCTAAAAGTCATCCAAGCCAGTGTCCCTGGGGCCGGCTGGGTGGCCTCAGTGAGGCCGGGATGGGCGGGGACTGTGGCCGACTCAAAGGCTCATCCCCTGTTGAGAGGGCAGCATCTGCCCAGCCCCTGTGACTGTTGCTGGGTGCACTGGGGGCCCAGCACAGCCGGCGTTTCTGATTCTTCATCCGCACATGCAGGCAATGTTTTTCCCTACGTTAGGATCCTGTGTGGGTCGAACAAAACGTGTCTGTGGGTGGGGCTCCAGCGTGTGCTACCTTTGTGACCACAGGGCTGAGGGCTAGGCCATGTGTCCTCGGTGGTCAGCACAGTGCCCAGCAGCAAGGAGGCCCCGGCAGACACTGAGGATTTGCGGTTTGTTATAGGCGTAAGGTTTGGGTGTAAGGCTTTCACTCATTCGTTCATCCGTTGGTTCATTCATATACTCCTTCAGCAAATACTTAATTTATTATGTACTCACTAGGTACCAGATACTGTTTTAGGTGATAGGGGTTCATCAGGAAGAGAGATGGGTAGACAGGGGAGGGACCTCTGGAATATTAAATAGATTAGCTAGGAAGCATAAATCATTCAGCTCTCTGAGGGAAAAAAGCTCCATGTAGAAGTAGCAGCATGTGCAAAGGCCCTGAGGCAGGGGTGCACCTGGCACATTTAAAGATCAACAAGGAGGCCGATGTGGCTGGAGTGGAGCGAGTGAGGGGGAAGCTCGTAGGAGATGAGGTCAGGGAGGTGATGGGGTCAGATTTCGTAGTGAGGACACAGTGAGGACTTGGGTCCTGACCCTGAGTGAACTGAAACCACAGGAGCGTTCTGAACAGAGAAGGGACACGATGCATCTTAGGTTATAACAGGATCCCCTGGCCACTGTGTGAATACGGGCAGAGACAGAGACACCCAAGGGAAGGCTGTTGTCCCACTCTAGGCGGGAGGTGGTGGCTGGAGCCGTGGAGGGGGTAAGTGGTTGGACTCTAGAGGTACCGCCAAGCCAGAGCCACAGACTGGATGTGGGGGCGTGAGGGCAAAAGGCTGATGCTGAGGTTTTGGCCGGAGCACGTGGGAGGCTGGAGTTGCTCTTTCCGGAGCTGGGGACGTGCTGCGGATGTGGGGGGCACCCTCGTGGCGCTGACGACTCGTGGGCCATCCATCCAAGGGTCATACGCAAGAGGTGGAACTATCAGGTGACTGGACGTCGCACAGGAGAAGGCCAAGGTGCCATCAGAGCGGAAGTGTGTTCTTGGTGTAGGGACCACAGCGCATGTGGGAGCCTCGTGGTGGGCGAAGCCTGAGGAGTGTCGGGGCTGAGTGCAGGGGTCCCTGTCAAGGAACTCGGCCTTCATTTCTCGGGGGGTCATCAGAGAGTTGTGTGTGTGTGTGTGTGTGTGTGAGACGTGATCAGAGCTGTGTGTCTCCAAAGCATCCCTCCGGCGGCAGCGGCGAGGAGGCCCGGGGAGCCCCGCGGGGGGCTGCCCTTGTCCTGGTGAGCCTGGAGGGACTGGGGGCCGAGGAAGGGGACTGCGGGCTCGGGGCAGGTGTGAGCGACTGGGCTGGACGGGTTGGATCAGGAGGTGAGAGCGAAGGCTCCGTCCCCAGTGTTCAGCTAAGTTTGCAGATTCGCTGTCTGCATTCCTTGGGGACACTGACTTTCCGGGCATAAAGGTTAGCGACGCTCGGGCGCCACGCCTGCTTGGCGACAGGGCTCCGGGGAGGGCAGAGGCGAAAGCCTGAAGCCCTCGCTGCTTCTCGCATTCTCAAAACCCTTCTTTTCTTTTCGAAGGTGAAAAATGTCGCAGCTTCATTGACCTGGCCCCAGCATCGGAGAAGGGTAAGTGTGGCCCCCACTCAGGTGTGCGAGCCCGGCGCCCTGCGGAGATGCTTCTTGGCCAGGTGGCTTCCCGAAGCCCCATGAGAGCGTATCCTGCAGGTCTGAGTTTCTTAAGCTGTTGGGAAGGGGACGAGGCTGGTGGGGCTATTATCCCGTCGCCTCTCCCGCGCCACTCCCCCCATCCGCCCCCCGAGTGAGGTGGCCCTGAGAGTCATTACCCTTCCACCTTCCCAGCGTACAGCAGGACTTCGGGGAAGGTAGGATGGGTGGGCGGAAGTTGGGGTCAGGTTGGACCAGTGTTGGGGGCACTGCCTTCAGCGTAGGCTTGACCTTGGGGGCAGGAAGCCAGATGCCTTGTGTCTGTCATCTCAACAGGTGTGGGGAGGCCCCAGTCACTGTGCAGAGATGACTCCCTGGTGCGTGGGGCCCAAGAGCAGAGATTCTGAGCCCTGGTGATGCCCAGATAGGAGGGTCGGGGGCCGGCCACAGCCTGCGGGTGTGCCGAGCATGGCACCCAGGATTAAGTTCAGACACAAGGAATGGTGATTCACGGAAGCCGCCCTCAAAGGACACATGTGCTCTGCTTTTATAAAAGTTTGAAAGTAGGCAATCCAGGGAGGCTCTCAGGAGCCGGAACCTTGCAGACCCGCTCCACCATATCCGTGCCTTTGTCTTTTTTTTTTTTTTTTTTTATTTCTAGGAGAGAGAGACAGCATGAGCAGGGAAGGGTCAGAGAGAGAGGGAGACACAGAATCCGAAGCATCCGTGCCTTTGTCCTCATGGTCTCAGGTGGCAGCTGGAGCTCCAGCTCTCACACCTGCCTTCTGGGCAGCCGCTTAGAAGGGGGCAAAGGAGAAAGGGCCAAGCTTGCTCGTCAACTCCAAGCTTTCTAGGAGCTGCTTACAGCACCTGCTCACGTGTCCTTGGCCAGAATGTGATCCCAGGGCCAGACCCAGCTGCAAAGGAGGCTGGGAAATGAGATCGCTATGTCAGTAACTATGTGCTTAGCGAAGTCAGGAGTTTTGTTATTACAGAAGAGCAGGAGAATGGATGCTGGAGGGCGCACTGCCGAGGGAACGTCGCGGTGCGGCTGCCTCCCAGCCTGCCCTCCTCTGCCCCCAGGGATGATGGCTGCCGGGAGAGGGAGGTGTGCTCTGGTTCTGGGAGTCAGGATGGGGAAACTGAGGCAGAAGTCCAGTGCTAGAAACTGTCCCAATCAGGGGGATCTCGGAATGCCTGGCTCGGGGGAAATGCTGAAGTCCGGGGCTTGTGGCCACTCGTGCCCCTTGCCGGTGGGGCTGGGCTGCCCGGCAGCGTCTGGGGGTTTGGGGACGGGAGCCTCTGTCTTTGACCCATCCCGGGTGTTGGCAGAGGGGGTGTGGGCGATGTGTGTCAGAGAGGCTGGTAATGTTCCTGTCCCACAGACCCTGAGGCAGGGACCCTCTGGCTCAGGAGGAGGCCCAGACACCCCCGCCGAACAGGCTTCTGCAGTGGGCATCTCCTCGGTTTCCCCCTCGGCTTCCTGGTGGCTTCCTGGTGGCTGTGCCGCATTTGGCCACTACATGTGGCCACCCCTTGAGTTCTGAGCTGAGCAACCAGGCCCCCAGCTTCTAAACTGAGGTCGGGGGGGGTCCCTGGGTGGCTCAGTCGCTTAAGCGTCTTATTCTTGGTTTCGGCTCAGGTCATGATCTTCCAGTTTGCGGGATCGAGCCCCACGTTGGGCTGTGCGCTGACAGCGTGGACCCTGCTTGGGATTCTCTGTCTTTCTCCCTCTCTCTCTGCCCCTCCCCCACTTGCTTCTCTCTTTCTCTCTTTCTCAAAATAAATAAACTTAAAAGAAGTCTAAATTGAGGTCAAGAAGCACTAGGGATACTACTGGATAATACCTAGTGGACGTTCACTGAGCGGTTCCTACATGCCAGGCACTCCATGGGCATTAATGGAGAAGCCTCCCCGCAACCTTGGGGGGCTGGCAAACTCGCCCCGCTTGACCGATGGGGAATCTGAGCCTTAGAGACATGGAGCCACTTACGTCTTGTGTGGGGCGGAGCCCATGCCTCAGCCCCTCTGTCGTATGGCCTCTGCAAGCCCGTGCCTGGGGGCGACCCCTCGGGACAGCTCCGCCCATCATCCCCAAGGCCTTGGAGCTCCGGGCTCAGCTGTGCTCCACAGCGGGCCACCAGGAAGCACGGCCTTTGTATGCGCATGTAACTGTGTGTGTGTGTGTGTGTGTGTGTGTGTTGGGCTGAGGCTGGGTGGCACATGCACGATTAGATGCTCCCGCAAGTACGCACATGCCTGTCTCCTGTGTGGACACGCACACTCGGTGGTGGCTGAGCATACACGTTTGTGTGCCCATGTGAAAGTGTGTGTGCGTGTGTGTCCTTGTGAGCATGTGTGCGTGTGTGTCCATGTGGGAGCATGCATGAGTGTACGCACGTGTGAACGTGTGTGGAGTATGTACAGGTTTGTGTCCATGTGAGCCTGTGCATATGTGTCCAAGTGTGAGCATGCATGCGTGTGTGTCCATGTGAGCACGTGCATATGTGTCCAAGTGTGAGCGTGCATGGGTGCGTGCACATGTGAGTGTGTGGAGTGTGTACATGTGTGAGCATGTTCATGTACGGCAGCAGGCAGGTGTTCACGCCTCCCCCTGGAGGCCGCCAACCTTTATTCTTGCATCTTTTGTGAGGACGCAGGGCCCCCGAGAGATGGTATCTTTGTGCTGTTTCCCTCGGGGCTGGTGGCCGTGTCCAGGACCCCCGGGCTGTGTGCATGTGTGTGCATAAAAATGGTTATAAGGGGCTGAGTGGGCTGGCTTTGCTGCCACGCTGAGGAACGACTTTTGCATCCTCCCTGCCTCTCCGGCCCTTCAGCTGTCCTGTCAGATGGGCGGGGCTTGTCGCTTAGCGGCTGTGATCTCTCCCCCCTCACTCCTCCCCGTCCTGTGGGCCCTCCGGGGATGCCTGGGGGAACGTGACGCTTGTGAGTCTGTCCCTTGACTCACCTGACAGCCCGAGCTGCGGAGATGGAGCACTGGTTCCGGCTGAACGGCTGAACGGGGAGCCGGGGAGGGTGTGTGAGGCCAGGTGTCTCTCCCGCAGCACACAGAGCTCCTGGACTCACGTCCCCGCACCGGCTCCCTCTGTGACTCCCCTTCTGGTCTGCCAGATATGGTAATGATCATGACGCTCACACCAACTGGCTTTCCTGAAGCGCTTACCACGTGCCAGGCACTGTTCTGAGAGCTTTGTACACGTTGGCGCATTTTAATCCTCATTTTACAGGTGAGGAAACTGAGACATAGAGAGTTAACTGACTTGCCCAAGGTCATACAGGTAGGACGCTGGGTTTGAACCTGAGCCCTTTGGCTCTTAAATGCCCAGTCCTGCTGAAGAGAGAGGCCTTCCAAGAATCTGTGAGTGAGTGTGTGTGTGTGTGTGTGTGTGTATGTGGTCAAGGGTCAGTGTGTGTATGTTTGAGCAGGTAGTACTGTGAGAGCATGTACACGTGTGTCTCATGTGTATACTTTCATGCCAGTGGATGAGCAGGTGTGAGTGTTAGGGCGTGTACATGTGTGCACAGGTGAGACTGTGCACGTGCACAGAGGCGTGGATGTGTGTGTTTGTGCTTGGGTGCACTTGTGCCTGTGCATAGATGCATAGATGCATGGGGTGTGTGAGTGTGTGAGTGTGCAAGGACGTGTGTGCATAGATGCATGGGTGTGTGTGCACATGTAGGTGCAAAGATGCACAGATGTGCAGTGTATACATGCATGGATGTGTGGTGTGTGTCCACGTGTGAATGTGCACACACGGATGTGTGTGCTTGGGCATAAATGCACAGCTGTGTGTATGCACATGTGTGCGTGTGTGTAGATGTGCTGCGCGTGTCCCTGGGTAAGCATGCATGGTTATGTGTGTATATGCACACGGCTGCATAGATGTTTGCATGCATGTGTGAACGTGGGTGTGTGCTGGGCGATACTCCCCGTTCCTCCCTCACCAAGACCTCTGAGCCAAGTTCAGGGTGTTCTCAGGCTGGGTCTCCCCTTCTTTCCTTGACACCCTTCTGCCTGGCAAACCATAGTCACGCTCTGAAGGCCCTTCACAAATGGCACACCCTTTTTGCCGTTTTCTCCAGTACCCTCTTGCCCCCTGCTTCCCGACCCTGTCTCCTGGAAAATTATTTGTCTGTCATCAGTATTTTTACCATGACATGCATTTTTTCTTAGTTTGTGCCTGACCATTTTAGTTTTGTGCTTCACATGGGAAGTATCTTTTTGTTTTATACGAGCCTAAGCCACATCCATTTTTCATCTGGATTCCTGCCACAGTCTCTTAACTGCTTACCTCCTTCCATGGTTGCCCCTGATTCACTCATGCCAGAGTGATCTTTTTAAAGCATAAGTCACTTCATGTGAATCCCTGTTCAACACCCTCCCCTGGCTTCCATCTCAGAAAAAGCGGACGTTCTCGTCACAGCCTGTAAGGGGTGTGGGGGCTGGCCCCGTACCTCTGGAGCTCATCTCCGGCACTCTCCCCTCCCTCACCGCACTCCAGAGCTCCCAGATCCTTACTGTTCCTTGACTAAGCCAAACTAGTGTGTGCCTCAGGACCTTTGCACTTGCCATTCCCTGCTCCCGCAACACTGTTTGCTCAGCTCTCTGCACAGCTGGTACCTCCTCGTCATTCAGGTTTCAGCTCAAATATCCTAGCCTCAGGGAAGCCTTCCCTGGGCATCTGCTGATGGCAGCCCTTCTTCCCGCTGAGTCCCTCGGCCCCCCTTCACGTCACTTCTCACTGCCTGCAGTGTATTCAGTGCTTGCCTCATTAACACTGTCAGACCCATGAGGGCAGGGTGTTTGTCTCCTTGGTGATTCACTGTGTCCCTGCTGCCCAGGGGCGAAGCCTGACGCTGATAGGTGCTCCATAATACCTGTTGAGTGAATGAAAACTTAACATGATTTTAACAGTATACACTCTTGTTATAAAAACTAC